ATATCACAGGTCTAAGCTCAGTAGTCCCTGCTCCAGTGCGAGCCTTCTGAAGATTACCCATAACAGCAGGAATGTTCTTTCCTTGGGGACCTAATGCTCGCTAATCCTGAGGTTTCTGCCTGAGACCTCATCAAAATCTACACTGACACTTCATTGTCTTGCCTGGGGCTTCTTATGAAGAATATGTTATCTTTTAGTCCACTGGCATGTGGCCTTGTCATCTCACGACCCTTACTAGTCCTTACTCTGTTGAGAAAAATTAGTGATTTTGTTCATTTGAGCACAAAAGACAGAGCTTGGAAATCAGCTGGGTTTACAACCTCGCTCTTTCACTTACTGGACATATCCAGGCCAGTCACCAATGCCTCTAAGTCTTTATTTCCTTGTTCTAAAAATAGGATAATGCCTCCCTGTGGTACAATGAAGGTGAATTATGACCCAGTATTTCTCAAACATTAATGTGCATAAGAATTGCATGGTAGATTGATTCAATGATCACAGGAGGGGCTTGATATTCTGCATTTTTAACAAGCTCACAGTTGACCCCAATATGGCTGGCTCATAGATCATGCCTTGAGCAACAAGATTATAAGTGAGAGACATATACAGTGACCAATCCTATATTAAAGAAACGACTTTGATCCATAACCTGTAACTACCTTGCCCAGGAAGCCAATCTGCTATAAGTAAGAACTTTGGGAAGTCAGAATGTTATCTCTAGTAATAATTCAGGAAGCCAAGCTATAATCTCTGTAAGCACTCAGCCCAAAATGGACAGAATTAGATTAACAATTGACAGCTTCCCTAAGTTTTGTTTCCACTTCTAACTTTGTGCCTACCAGAATAAGCCAAATATACATTCTCAATCCCATAGGATATTCTATTTCTGCTTAGCCCATCTGCAGCTTTATATGCCAAGAGGCTCACACCAGGGTGTACCTAAGGCCTTCCCTTTTTTCACTATAAAGCTTTCCTACTCTTCTGTCTACCTTTGGTTTGCCAAATGTAAAGTGGTGGCTGCATTTGGCAGCTGACTCTCTTTCTATAGCAAGCTCTTAATAAATAATAGCCTTTGCTTGTTTTCATTTGCATGGTCTTTATTTCTACTGTGCTGGTTTATGAAAAGTGCCTGCCATTTAGAAAGGATCCAACTGTAGCTTTAGGCCTCTAGAGGAGGGTGGGGCTAGATACTTTTCTCCTAACACCAAAGTGGGGCTTCATTTTCCAGCCCTTCACCTTCTACTCCCCAGAAGGGCTGGTTTACTGGTCTCACTGAAGTTCTCCCACTCTCTGCCTACTTCTCTTTTCCATGTCACTATATTCCCTTGAAATGGAAGGAACTTGACTATTTGCTTTTCTTGACATTATCCTCTCCCTTTACCTAGTTGCAACGAAGCCCATACAATTATCAACTAACTTCTTTCTCCTTCCCTCTAACAATTGTAGTAATAGGCTATGGCTAGCTCCTACTTTGAGAAAGAGCAGGCCATTTCTCATTGAGGTGCTCATGAGCCTGATCTTTCCATTATCCTGTCCCACATGTCCTGGCCCAAAGGTAATAAAATGGTCAGAATTAAATTTCTGTTAGGGAAAGAGGGAAGGAAGCCTCCATAGGCCCCAATCACATACTCTATCCCAGTTTTTAAGTGACAGCTCCACTTGAGTTTGGGTCGCTCTTAACAAAACACAAGTAACATTTTGCTTTACTGTTTTCCTTCTATTGATGTCTCTCTTGGGGACCTGACTTGCAGGAGAAATGGCTGAAGCTTTGGACATTCTCAGCTTTTCTAGCCTAGTGTCACCCAACAGCATTCCAATCTCACAGCCATTTTTCTACTGATGATTTACGACATGCCATAAATAAGATGACTTTAAGAGATACCTTGACAGAAGAAATATAGATCGCTTCCAAAGAGGAGGAAAGGTTGATGTAGACATCTAACACTCCAAGCTCAAATGCTAATACTCCACTCAAAATTTGAGTGTTTGCTCAAATGCAAACACCCCAAGCTCAAATGCAAATGCCATTAAAGGGCATTGCGGGTCATAGTGTTTGCATTTGGCACAGTAAAAAGAACAATATACGAGGACTATCTCAAACAGAAATACAACTGGAAAAGCTCGATGAGCTTCTTTTAGAAGGATAAACAATTCCACAACAAAGGCGAAAACCTTTCAAATTTTTGCCTTTACCAAATGTTTTCTTACATAGCTGAATAATTTAAACTGCAGTCTTGATAACAGCTTTTTAGTATACTTTATTATTTAATATGGTCAGAAATGCAATTCAATGCATTTATCTTGTGAATGCTTTTCAAGTCTCCTTGCTTTCCTATAGGGTGAATCATGATACAAAAAAGGGCATGATTTTTTCTAAGGAGTATAGATATGGTTTGACTCTGTGTCCCCACTAAAATCCCACCTCTAGTTGTAGTCCCCATGTATCAAGGAAGGGACCTGGTGGGAGGTGATTGGATCATGAGGGTGGTTCCCCACATGCTGTTCTAGTGTTAGTGGGGAGGTTTTAAAAGTGGCAGTTTTTCCTGCTCTCTCTCTCTCTCCTGCTGCCATGTAAGACATGCCTTGCTTCTTCCACCATGATTATAAGTTTCTTGAGGTCTCCTCAGCCATGCAGTACTGTGAGTCAAACCTCTTTTCTTTATAAATTACCTAGTCTCAGGTAGTATCTTTATAGCAGTGTGAGAATGAACTAATACAAGTACTTTTCTATTTTCTTAATAGCACAAGGTAATAAAGGGTTTTACTTAAAGCCAAGACTCAGGAAAGGAATGATATCACTGTAAAACTTTGCCAAAATATCATTTCTTAGGCTTCGCTGCAGACACAGATTCTGATTCAGTAGTTTTAGAGTAAGACCCTTGAACCTGCATTTTAAAAATCTTCCTAAATGATTCTGGTGCTGTCTGGTTTGGTTTCAGAGTCACAGTTGAATTGATGCCAATTAGCATAATTAAACTGCTTCTGGATTAGAAGATCTCATAGTCTTTTGTAAAAAAAAAAAAAAAAAAAAGAACAATTTAATTCAATTCAACATTTATTGAATACTCTGTGCCAGGCACTTTGGTGTATTCTGTAGAAACTAAAGTGTATGCCACAGCGTTCCTGTCCTCAGTTGGCCCAGAGAGTAATGGGAGAAGTAGAGGAATGGAGGGGAAGAAAAGGAATGAGAGGGGAAAGAGGGAGAAAAAAAAGAGGTAGAAGAGAAAAAGGTAGTGAAGATATTAATCAACCTACTTGCAAAATGTGGTGAGAAAGATGACAATGAATTCCACTGGAATATACTCATAGATAAGGAATGGAACAAAAGCTACAAAAGAGAAGATAACTTTGGGTCTGTCTTGTGGGGTGGGGTTATTACACTATATACATTAGAATGATTTTCGACCACCCTGTTGAGCCATGTGTGAAGGCAATTTTAGTTGTACTTGAGGGGTTGTAACTAGCATTTGGAAACCATGGATTGCTCCTGTAAAAAGTACCCACAGCACTCTTTTGAGAAACCTATTTCATGAGTTGATGAAATGGAAGAAAAAATGACAGGTGACCACAAGGTTAGGGAAACTTAAGATAAGAATGTTGGTTAGGAGTGCTATTATTGTACCCTTTTTAACAAGAATAATGATAGAAAAAAGTAATAGAGTTATATGAAGGGTTTCAAATGCTAAATTTTTACTAGTCTGATAATGGAATTTATGCCGTATCAAATTGGAACTGCAGACTGATACTAGAGGCAGTGAAATTACCAAAATAAAATCAGGTCTTATTAACAGGAAGCATAATAGAGCAATGTCTTCCCTGTAGGTCCTCAAAAACAAAGCCTTAACCAATTGCTTTATAATTAGCTTTAGCATCTACTATTTTATGAATTGAATAAAGTTTTCTCAAGAATGCTTAAAATTCCATTGATACTTCAATTTTTTCATGTCTGTAACATTTCTGAAATATACTTTCTTTGCTCGGCTAAATATGAAACTATTGTTTGTCCTTCATTTGTCACCCCTGTTTTCAGAATATTTTAATCAAAACTGTTAACTGGTGGATTTTCTACTGAACCAAAAATCCTAGTAATAGGGTAAGAATTCTTGTGGCCATCTAGATGATGAGTATGTATATTCCCCTAGAAATATACCTCAGAGAGCATAAAAAATGTGTTACCCAAATACTTAAGAGTAACCCAGGGCATATGGTAAGGGCTTTTAAAACTGCATCTAGCTAGATTCTTGAATAACATTCTTTACCTTTTTCTTGAAAAGATTCATTACTGTTTCTCTATAGTCAATAAATCCTGTTTATAGTTGCTATGGTTTGCTCACTTGAATGAAACTGTCTTACTACTTTTTTAAAGGTGCAAATAAACAATTATAAGTATAACTGAATAAATAAGTAGAACTGAATAATTATGAGTAGAACTGAATACAAAATAATCATTTTGCAATTATTGGCTCTTTCCTATGATACTACATTAATATTATGCTTTTTGTATAGGAAGATTTTCCCTTTGATAATACATGAACAGCAAAATTGTTTTCTAATAAAGCAACCAAAGGCATTTTTAATACATTTAGTTTAAATGAGACATCAAACAGACTCAGAATTCTGGAGTTCTGATTCTAAGCTTAGTGACCAAATAAATAGCTGGAGAAAACAGCTTCAGGAAATAAGCTGTTTTCTCAATAGTCCACATAGACTTTTCTCTACCAAGGCAAAGTTCATTATGAAATATTCATGCAGAGATTTCACCAATGGCTACAGAAATATTTTATTTCATTATTGCCTTACAATGTTAGGACATTTCCAGCAGTGATTTTGATGGCCCTTTGTTGATAGTGACCAATTGAAAAGGCATGAAACTGATGTGAATAAAATAAATATTTGATTGAAATTATTAATCATCTGAATCCTGACCCTGGACCCAACTTTTAAAACCAAATCATCTTTCATTTAGTCACTTAGTATTTATCATAAACCATAGAACAAACCATTGTCTTCCTTTGCTGTGTCAGCCAGTCAGCATGTAGAAGTTCATTCATTTCATCTATGAAGCCAGTGACATTCATCAAGTTTCAGTGTAACCAAATATGTCTGCACAAAGAAAAACATCAAAACTTGGAATGAGGTATTAGAGATCATCTGTCCATCCCTTCATGTCACAGCTCAGGGAAGAGATTTCTAGAATGGTTACCTAGTTTGACTCTTCTAGACACAAACTCGGGTCTAGGCAGAATCAGAAGTAGAACTTGGACATAGAGACTTCTTATTAATTGTTCTTTCTTTTAAGTCACAAATAATTCTGCTCCTAAATTGCAGATACCATCTCCAAATATGATCCTTGGGATAAGTTAGTGGCTAAGAGGAATTAGGCTAAGACTGTGCATGGATCACTGACATAATGTTTCCATTCATGTGGGAAGCACAAAGAGCATGTCTTTTGCTGATGGAAGATTAGAAGAAGAATCATTCCACATCAGTGTCACATTTTTCTTAACACATTTTAGAGTAGAGAACAAATATTAAGATTTAAATTCTGAATTACAGTAGATGGTTGAGACTAAGATAACTGTCAATTATTAGTTATGTGATGTTGGGACAAAATTTTTTTAAGCCTCATTTTTCTTGCCTTTAAAATAGAATTAATAATATGTGGGATTTTCAGGTTAATGAAATAAATGATCTATCTTAAATTTTAGTGAATTTTGCTGCTATTAATATTGAGGCCTTTTTCTTTGAGTTTCTTCATGGTTGTTAATATTAGGAAGAATAAGAAACAGACTAATAATTTTGGACATAATATGCAGCATCTTTTTATAGATAAACACACTAAGACATATGTACATATTGTATACATAATAATTAAGTATCCTCAAATAAACATGGCAATTTTCTTTCTTTGACAGGGAACTTATGCCATGATATAATTGTATGTGTTGTAATTATGTTTATATTACTTAATGAGACATTGATATGAAAGCAATAAATCAGTATGTAAATGAAAAGAAAAACACTTTAAATTCTATTAATTTATAATGTAAACTCATAGAGAATTCATGATTCTTTTACTAATTCTCATCAGTCACAGATTTTCACAGTTCATGAGTGTTATGAGTCCTTTTATGACCCACAAGGAATAAATTTTTTTTCTTATTCAAAGAGTAAGGATCATCTCAATAGAAAATGCTTTCAATCATGCCACAAATATCATGGAGTTTCTTTTGACCTAGTCTTATAAAGCACAGTAAGCTATTTAATTTGTATGGATTATTTAATAATACAATGATTATATAATGAACTAAACAGAATTATATTTTGTCATAATGAAAAACCATGGAGAGCACTTTTTTCATTCACCTTGCAAAATAGCTCTGCAACATTTTCAGAACTGTATCAGAGTATTAGCTCAAAGAATGGAAAATACATGCTTCTGTTTTCCAGGCCCATCACATCTCTCTCTTTTATGCATTGTGTTCTTTGTGATTACATCCAAACTAAAGATTTTCTAATTCAAGAATAGTAGTTAAACATTTAGTAAAATGATGTGACAGTATATCTTTTTAATTGTACCAAAGTAAAATGGAAGCACAATAGGGTTTATCTCAGGGAGATGATTCAGAGCTACTTTCTTAATTGCGCTGTTGATTTTGTGTCTGGGTCACAAGTAGTGTAGTATAGAATTTAGCACTGGAAGCTGGGCTAGGACACAGAATGCATTACCTTGCACATGAATAATGTATGATATAAATACAGGACTATTCTTTGAAGAGTTGAAATATATTGTTACTGTGACAAGTTAAGTGGGCCTAATTTCATCTCATTTAAAATGTTGCATCTTAACATTGAGAAAATACCTATGGAATGCCTGTTTTATTTCAGGTATTGAGCTTTCAATGCATATTTCAAGTTGTTTATGAAACATTTAAATCTAGAAGTTTTATCTAGAATTTAATATGTTCAGAAGCAAACTGATTCTTTTCCACCCCTGTCATCTAACGTGTTTCCTTTTCTCTACTTTCTGTAGGAGGCCCAAGACAGAAACCTGCATGTTGTTGAAATTCCTTTCTCTCTTACCTATGTATCAGTTATCACCAAATCCAATTGACTTATTTTCTGCAACACCTTTTAAGTGCAGCATTCTCATAGCAAAATAAACTATTAAGAGTATACACAGACACACTGTAGAATGAGAAAAAATATTTATAAACTATGCATCAGACAAAAGTTTAATATCTGGAATCAAGAAATAAAAATTTCAAGAAGCATAAAAGAAATAACCTCATTTAAAAGTGCATAGAAGCATCAACAGATACTTCTCAAAAGATGACACACAAGCCAATAAATATGTGAAAAAATGCTTCACATCACTAATCACCAGAAAAATGCAAATCAAAACAATAATGACATACCATCTCATACCAGTCAGAATGGCTAATATTAAAAAATAGATGCTGGTGAGGCTAAAGAGAAAAGGGAGTGCTTATACATTGTTGGTGGGAACGTAAATTAGTTCACCCACTGTGGAATGAAGTTTGGCAATTTCTCATAGAACTTAAAACAGAGCTATCATTCAACTCCCAAAATAAAAGAAATCATTCTACCAAGAAGACATATGTACATGTATGTTAATTGCAGCACTATTAACAATAGCAAAGACATGGAATCAACCTAAATGCCTATTAATGGTGAATTGAATTAAAAAATGTGGTATATATGCACCATGGAACACTACACAGGCAAAAAAGAATAAAATCATGTCCTTTGTAGAAACAAGGAATTAGGTGGAGGCTATTATCCTTAGCAAATTAATGCAACAACAGAAAGCCAAATATCACATATTCTCAGTCATAAGTGGAAGCTAAACATTGGGTGCCCATGAACACATGGGAACACTAGACACTGTGAATTTTAAAAGGGGAAAAGGAGGGACAATGCTAGGGCTGAAAAACGACCTCTTCGGTACTCTGCTCACTATCTGGGTGACAATACACCAGTGTAACTAGTGTGGATATATACTCTCTGAATCTAAAATCAAAGTTGAAATTTTAAAAAATGTTTCCAGAGAAAAAGAAAAAGAAAAAGAAAACTTAGCATTTACTTTGCACTACAAGTACACCTGGTCTAATGTAATCCCTTATCTGTCCTGGTCTGTTTTGAGAGTTTACTATCCATTCTTTCTTCCTTTAGTCTCAGCAAGTCTCAGTTGTTTCTGAGTACTGCTACAGAGCAGGTTTTGAAAATACACATCTAAGCATAATCTGACCACACTTAATATCTTCCATTCTCTCTCCATAGCCTAGAGAACCATGTTTAAATTTCATAAAATCAATTGCACTCTTCTGCTTTCTTGGCCTTTTTTCTCCTTATGTCTTGTCCTTAACTCAGCTTTTTACATCCTCTAATTTTTCATGCTTTTTAAGGTCTCTGTGCCTTTGATACTCTCTTTGCCTGGAATTTCTCTTCACCATACGTGATAAAAAATAATTTGCTAATTTTCAAGATCTAGTTTAAAGATTACTTCCTTGGTGAAGCCATTGTTGATGTTTGTACTTAGCTTAACTGTTCCTTTTCCTGCTACCTCTATTGAAATTCTGTGTACACTATTTTATAGCTCTCCCACGTAATATGAATATTTACTTGTGTTCTCTAATAGACTGTGGCCACAGTAAAAACAAACAAATCACCCTTATAGTTGGTGTCTGTCTCCAGTTGCTCCTCATTCTAACCTTTCTTTCACATTCTTTCAGATTAGCTAAAAACTTTTAATTTTCCTTGATGGCTTATATGATAAAGTCTAAACTACTCAGCAGAGTACAGGAGGATCTCCAGTCTCTATCCCAGTCCCAATACCCACAACCCATACCGTGCATGCAGCACTCTAATGTATAATCACTCCTAAATGCACCATGTTGTACACTTCTGTTTATTTTCCCTTTTTTGAAGAATGTCATTTTCCTTCTTTCCAGGTGATCTCCTATTTATGGTTTGAAGGTTCATGTAACACACCAACTTTTATAAAGCCATCCTTGAACACTGTGGTAAAAGCGTATATCTCTTTCTACTTCCAAAACAATTTCTGCAGAGGGTACATCTAAACTGGAATCTTGTATAATAATTGTATAATTGTTCTCCTTCTTCCATATGTGCTCCCTCAGTCAGTCCTAAGCACAATGATTATAGTAATTTGTTTAAAAGGAAAATCAGATCTTTTCAATCTCTTTCTTAAAACCCTTCACTGGCTCCCCAGAACATGCAAGTCGTAACTAGTGACCACACCATATGGCCTCTGTCACTTCTTTGACCTCACCTCGTGTAACTCTCTTCTTTCCTCTGTTCCAGCTACCCTGGCTGTTGCGTGGCTCTTCCTTGAACTCCCCAGATAAGTCTCTGGCTCTGAACATTTGCAGTTGCATTTTCTCTACCTGGAACTCTCTTCCATAAATAATTGTGTGGTTTACCCTTTCTCTTTTTCAGGTACTTCCTTAAATGTCACATTCTCAATGAGGCCCTTCCAAATATCCCATTTATACCATACCCATCTCATTTCCTACCAGCACTCCATATTCACCTTCATTTTTTTCCACATCTAATACTTCCTATATTACCCTGAAAAGCTCCATAAAGCATGGGTTTTATCTTTTTGTTTTATGAGGTATCTATTCTAAAAACAAGTTTTGGTATATAATGAGTCTCGATTACATATAATGAATAAACATACACATTCTTACTAACAGTTACTAAATGGAGAGGTTATGTTTGACTAAATTTCATGATTCCATCTGGGAATGATTTCTGGTATATAATTATTAAATCTACAAAGATCTTTGATGGATAAATGAATGCATTTCCCAGCCCTTGCATTCGATGTAGAAGACGCTACTTAACATGCAGCTGTTTATTTGCTGGATTTCTACCATCTAAATAAAGTTATTTAAATAGCTTCTCAACCTAAGTGGGACATGGTCCACTGTTACTGACTAAAGATGAAAATGTCCCTCATTTATTTAAAAGAATATTAGAATTCAATCCACTAAATAAGTCAGTAAGATTTTGAGATTCATTTGTATTTTACCCTTTAATAATCTCATTTTCCT